GATGAGGTCTTGATGTGTTGCCCAGGCTGGTGCTGAAACTCCTTGGCTTAAGCAATCCTGCTGCTTCGGTCCCCTGAATAGCTAGAATTACAGGTATGCACTACTGCACTCAGCTCTTTATTCCTGATTTTAAATGGAATTTTTCCATTATTATTTAGAATGATTGTTTTAGATTTATTATAGATATCTTTTATCAGGTTAAGGAAGTTCTCTTTAATTCCTAACTTTCATCTATAAATGATACTGAACTTTTTTTTCTTTTTTAAATCAAGTGACTTTTAAAAAAATAATTTTTTATATATATTTTTATGTGGTGCTGAGGATCGAACCCAGTGCCTCACACATGCTAGGAAAGCTGAGCTACAACCTAGCCCCCTTTCTTTCTTTCATTCCTAACTTATTAAGAGCTTTTATCTATAAATGACACTGAATTTTCTTTCTTCCTTCCTTTCTTTCTTGGTACTGGGGATTGAACCCAGGTGTTACTGAGTAACACCCCCAGTCCTTTTTATTTTTGAGACAGGGTTCACTAAGTTGCTGAGGCTTACCTCAAACTTGAGATCCTCCTGCCTCAGTCTCCCGAGTCACTGGGATGAGAGGTGTGAGCCACTGGGCCTGGCACTAAGTTTTATTAAAAAAAAAAATTATTTTTTGGTGGGTGAGTGACACATACCTATAATTCCAGTAACTCGGGAGGTTAAGGCAGGAGGATCATAAGTTCAAGGCCAGGTTGCCAGCTTGGGCAAGAGAACAAAACCTTGTCTCAACAATAACAAAAAAGGGCTGGAATGGAACTCTGTGGTAGAGGAGGACTCCCGGGTTTAATTCCCAGTACTGGGGGAAAAAAAGCATTTCTTATATCCCTGGGGTTTATCGTATTTTCCCCCTTTAATCTGTTATGGTTGTGAATTATATATCTTAAAATTTTATAATGTTAACAGCTGTGTTAAACATAACTATGTATAGGAATATTCTCTCATTGAGTAGAATTATGGGTGATTTTTTTTCTTCTTTATGCAAATTATCAAAATTTTAAGGCCTGGGTTGTGGCTCAGTGGTGGAGTGTTTGCCTAGCGTGTGTGAGGCACTGGGTTCAATTCTCAGCACCACATAAAAATAAACAAAATAAAGAAGGTATTGTTTAAAATAAATTTAAAACTTTAGGCTATTCTTTTTTGTTTTTAAAATAAGCTCTGACACATTTTATTAAAGAAAAATTGTGCAGACTGTTCTGGCATACTTCTAACAATATCAGAATCACCTGGATCAATGACAGTGTGCATGCTCTGTACTATTTTCTGCATACTGTACCCAATTCAATATTATCACTGTAGCAATAGACATCAGTTTTGGCTAACATGTCATAGTACTATTCAGATTTCTTCAAAGCTGGGCATGTGAATGTACATGTGTATGTATGTATAGGCACATGTATTTAAACATGTATTTAAACAGTTGTTTGCAAGGATGACCAATGTTGCTTTGTCCTGTGTGGTCATTTTCAGAATTTGCTTATACCCCAATATGTACTTTCCACTTTTTATAACAAGCTGGAGCCAAGAGTCAATCAACTCCAGAGACTTTTTCCTCTTATTTGAGGCCACCACCTTATTGCCTTAGGTAAGAAATGGCCCCCAACCAAGAGCAGCTGCCATGATGGCCGGGGAGTAAGAAAAGAACCTTAGGCCATTCTTAAGTTTCTTGCCATTTTTTTTTTTCTTTTTTGGTCAGGGTGTGGGATACTGGGGATTGAACTCAGGGGCACTTGACTACTGAGTCACATCCCCAGACCTATTTTGTATTTTATTTAGAGACAGGGTATCACTGAGTTGCTTAGCACCTTGCCATTGCTGAGGCTGGCTTTGAATTCTCATTACTCCTGCCTCAGCCTCCCAAGCCGCTGGGGTTATAGGCATACGCCACCAGGCCTGGCTAGTTTCTTGCCTTTTGTTTTTTTTCTTAGCTTCTATGGTACTACTCTGCTGGTCTGATCTAAACACTCTGCAAATTTAAGATCCATTCTAAAGACTAAGTAGTTCCCAAGCAGACTTTATACTTATTTATTTATTTTTAGTTAAAGGTGGACACATCTTTATTTTATTTTTATGTGGTGCTGAGGATCAAACTCAGTGCCTCATGCATGCTAGGCAAGTGCTCTACCTCAGAGCCACAACCCAAGCCCAAGACTTTACATTCTTACCTACTAAAAAGAATGGGTTCCCTTACATTAGAACAGTTGTGCCTATTTAAATACTAAAGGTTATCAAAGAATTTCCACAATGAATTTTTATGTGGTGCCGAGGATCGAACTCAGGGCTTCGCACATGCTAGGCAAGTACTCTATTGCTGAGCCACAGCCCCCGCCCCTCTATTATTTTTAAGTCACCCCAATATAAGCAGTAATCAATCTTGGTCAAGAACTTTGGAGATCTCCACCATTTGGTCTTTTGCATCCCAGGAAGCATGCTGCTTCCTGGTGGGTATCAAGACAGGATATTGGGTAGAAGTGATCAGGAATCTATAACAGGGGAAGAAGAGACCTGATCCTTAATACCATGAATGTGCTTTTGATTTATACTTAGCAAAGGAAATGAAAGCAGCTGGATGAGAGACTAGCACATGTTTTTCAGTTTACTCTTTCCATTGCACCTTGTTAGAACTTTAAATTTATTTAGCATTTACCAAGCATCTACTATATTCCAGTTGCTATGCTTGGTTTTGATAATATGCTGTTTCTGACTTTAAGGAATTAATAATCCTGTGGGCAGTGGCCTGATATGTGTTTAAGGAGAAAGGTGGAGAGAGATGAAGTTGATCAGGTGGGCAATGGAGCCAGATTTTGGAAGTGTTCTGTGGTGGTCTAGAAAATCTAGACAGAGAAGTCAGTAGTAGATTTTAAACAGGAAAGCGACATGATCAATATTCTTTCTTTCTTTCTTTTATTTATTTTTTAGTTTTAGGTGGATACAATATCTTTTATTTTATTTTTTTTTGAGAGAGAGAGAATTTTTTTTTAATATTTATTTTTTAGTTATTGGTGGACACAACATCTTTGTTGGTATGTGGTGCTGAGGATCGAACCCAGGCCGCTTGAGCCACATCCCCAGCCCACAATATCTTTATTTTATTTTTATGTGGTGCTAAGGATAGAACCCAGTGCCTCACATGTGCTAGGCGAGCACTCTACCACTTAAGTCACAACCCCAGCCCCCCCTTTTTAATATTTATTTTTTAGTTGTAGTTGGACACAATATATTTATTTATTTATTTTTATTTGGTGCTGAGGATCGAAACCAGGGCCTCGTATGTGCTAGGTGAGTGCTTCACTGCTGAGCCACAATTCCAGTCCCCAGTTTTATTTCTTAATAAGGTAATTCTGGTAGCAGTGTGTGAGGAAGCCAGGAATAAGGAGATTAAAGATAGAGGAATCAATTATAATATTCTAGGAGATGAGACAAGAAGGCCCGAGAGAAGGGTTAAAGTATAGGTAGCCATATAAACCAGACTGCTACTGCACAGTTTCCCCCCATCCTAGCCCCCATTCAAAGAAGCTGATCATGTAGACACAGGACCACACAGATAGAGAGCAGGTAAGCGGTAAGACAAAAGCAAAGGCTGAGAAGAGTAAGGATAATTTGAGTCCTGGAGCTACACAGTTCATGGTTTTTGTTATTTTTAAAGGATCAAGTCAAACATCTTTGAAAAATGCTGTGTAAGCTGGAAGTTCTTGTATTGAATTTCAATATGAGTTTTCTCCTGATCCTCTGATGGAGATTAAAAATTTCCATATGAATACAAAGAATGAAACAACTCTTACTCTTAGCTTTTTTTCTCCCCTTTTAATGTTCCAAATCAGTGTGGGTAGCAAATGTTCCTTGGCCCCCTCCACTGGAAAACAAGTCAGTTCCTTTTGAAGAAGTGACAAAGCATGGACAGCTGGAGGATTTCAGGGCCATGATATTTACATTATGAACCAAACAGAACTCTCACTGCAAGAGGCAAGCAAACAAGCCTTGGCAAACAGCCCTATCAGCTCAAGGAGGTCAGTGATTTGAAGAGGGGATATGAAACTGTTTTGCCAGGACTCACCCACTTTTGCTGGAGCTCAGCATTAGGCCAGTTCCCATAATGCAGTTGGCTTAACAGCATAGGGGAGGACACAATTACTCTTCCTGCTTCCTAGTCAGAGTGGAGGCAGCTCAAAGCTATGCCAAGAAATTATACAAGGCTAGTGTGAACCACTGTGAACATTTTGACCTTGGCCTAAAGGCTGCTAGAAGGATACAGGGCCCTGGTCAATCTTCTTTTCTCCCATTCCATTCCATTTTTTTTTTTTAAAAAAGGTGCTTGGGGTAGAACACAGGGCCGTACACTTGCTAGGCAATCTTCCTTCTCTCTTTTTATGGTCCTGGGGTTTAACCTAGGGGTGCTCTACCATTGAACTACATCTCTCTTTTTGTTTTTATTTTGAGAAAGGTCTCACTAAG